TGTTGCCTTATCAGCTACTGAAGTAGAATATATTGCCCTCACTGAAGTTGTTAAAGAAGCATTGTGGCTTAAAGGTTTTGCAAAAGAGTTGAAACTTCAAGGTCGAAGTATCACTGTTAAATGTGATAATGAAATTGTAATACACCTTTCGAAGAATTCAACATATCATGAGCGAACCAAACACATTGATGTGAGGTTGTATTTCATTAGAGGAGTAACTGAGCATGGAGAAGTCCAAGTGCTGAAGGTTTTGACAGATCATAATGTTGCTGATATGATCACCAAGACGTTGCCCAATTGCAAGTTTTTCTACTGTATGCAGTTGATAAAGCTGCATGATGAAAGCTATTTTATTCCCTGTTGTCTGTAGAGTTTGATCAAAGGTGGAGATTTGTGAGATATTGGATCGAACTCTAGTGCTGTCGACTGAGATCTGTGGACTGGGATAGCTTTCATGATTCGACGGGAGACAAACATGAAGTCGAAGGTTGTTCACTTGTTGATGTCGAAGTGTTTACATATTCTAGTCGAAGTCAGTTCTAGTATGTAGTGTCGAATTATTATGTCGAATTGGGCTTTGTGTTAAATATCCAATTGTTTAAGTTAGCTTGTACCCTAAAGTAGCTTGTAATGGGTAATTATTAAAAAAAACCATTAGTTTAGTATGTTAAGTTTTATTATAAATAGCATGCTAGTCTCTCATCATAAGTGTGGCAAATCTTAATTAGGGTAAGAGGGTTATTTGTTATTCTGGAGTACTTGTAATATGTTTAAAGAGAAATTAGAGAATATCAGTTATAACCAATCCTTGTTCTTCTTCTTGTTTTTCCGTTAACCCTAACCCTTGTGTGTTTCTTGCCATAAAGAAATCGTTTATACTTTGTTTCAAGGTATTGTTTTTCATGAAAAAGTCATATTTCATATGTTGATGCTTTTTGTGTCTATAGTACAGGTGTGGGTTGGTTTTGGTTGCTGGGGCATCTAGTAGAGGTTTAGAGCCAAGCCAACTATAAAACATTAGGTGTTATTATTTACTAACTTATTGCTATTATTTATTCATTATATTTATAGGCTTGTTGTTTGCTTTTTTGAGTTGTTGAAATGTTGCCTAAAAAATAACTTTTTGGTCATCAAAAGCGGAAAAGAAAGAAACAAATTGAAATTGTTGTTAAATCTCAAAAGGGTGCTTTAGATAAATATTTTAGCAAGCATTCTACAACTTCTATTTAAAATGACGTGAATTCAGATAACTTAGACCATACAGTTGAAAATGTTGAGGATGAAGAATCAAACGTAAATAATGAAGAATATATTATAGGCATGACAAGTAAACCTAGACCCGCCTAGACCCACACGGACTGCCCTGAAATTTACGGGAAAACCCTGATTTAACTGGCTGCGGGTGCGGGTACGGGGAAAACCCGGTTTTCTATTACGGGTGCGGGGGCGGAGGCGGGGGATGCTACTACCCGCCCCGCACCTAGCCCCACCCTGCCCCGGTCTACTATAAGTTACTTTAATGTATCATTTTAATTATTTTATTATACATTTATTATAGTTATTTTAAATATTTATAAATAGGTTTAGTAGAGTTACTTTAGTTTTTAAAAACATGTTTTATTCAAATTATGTTACTCTTTATAAACATGTTTATTATTAAAATGAATAAGTATTTAATTAAATTATTAACTTTTATTGTTATGAAAAAAGTATGTATTTAAAAAAAATAGTTTTTGTGGGTGGGGCGGGTACGAGGAAACCTGTCTTCAATTGGGGGCGGGTATGGGTGGTAGTATTTTACTCCCGACTGGATTTAGGGGCAGAAGAGGATCTGTTACAGGGAGGCAGGTGCGGGGCTGGTTAAACCCGCCCCCGATCCGCCCCATTGTCATGCCTAATATTTTGTTTTAACTTTAGATAGTAATGAAAATGAGAGTATCCTTGCATTTGCTAATGAACAACCTAATGAGCTATTCCATTATATATTTATGATCCAAGAACATGGAATAACCTTAGAAGTGATTTAAGGGATGAATAGCTAAAAAAATGTCTTAAAAGAGATGTATCAATTGTGAATGATCCTAAAAACACCCTTAGTAGACACTTTTCATCCTCACATTACATTACATTTATTATTGATGTGGCTATAAAATTAGTAAAAGGTTTGATTACTCACTTGAAAAAATATAGAGAATTTGGTTTTGTAAAGGCTATTGCTAGTGCTGAAATAATTGCAAATGAAATGGACATTGAATGTGTTTACTCAAAAATGTCAAATTCACAGAAAGAAAAACTTTGATGAAAATTTATCTGAAGGCACGCAATCATATCTTGAGTTTGTTGAGGAGTCTTTTAGGATTCATTATTCTTTATACATTGTAGATCAAGCAATTTGCTCACCTAATAGAAGATTTGAGCAATATAGTACATATGAGAATATTTTTGGATTTTTGTTTAATATTGAAAGACGTAATTCATTTTCTGATGAGAACTTGAAATTGTCTTGCATAAATCTTGAAATTTATTTGAAACATGACAATTCTTATGATCTTGATTGTGAAATTTTATATGAAGAATTAAAAGTCATCAGAGAGATTTTAACAGTTGAATCAAAATCTAGTTTTATGATATTGAGTTCTCTTACGACATTCAATTGTTTTCCTAATTCATGCATAGCTTATACAATAATATTAACTATTATTGTTACTATTGCATTGGCTAAGAGGAGTTTTTCAAAATCAAAATTGTTAAAATCTTATTTGTAGTCGAAAATGTCGCAGATTAGATTAAATAGTTTTGCTTTGATTTTAATTGAAGATGATTTTTTTAAATAATCTTGATTTTGATCGGATTATTAGTGATTTTGCAACAACAAATGCTAAAAGGATGATATTCAAAGCTTAATAGTCAGACGTTGCAACTAGTGTGAGAATTGGAATGTTACTGATACATGTTCGTATTGATAAATACATTATAACTATTTTTGTCATAATTTTATTGTAGTTTTGATTTGGTGTAAACTTTTCAATATTAATGTAATTTTTTTTACTTTTTTTTTTACAATTATATATTTATAATTATATGACTTATAAATCTAATAAAAGAAATTATGAATTAAGAAAAAGGGCACCAAATTCATAATTTCGACAGGGCACTCAAAATCTCGGGGATGGCTTTGACGTAAATTCCCTACCCGTCTTGAGTGAGAACGATAATTGGTGTGACGGTTTTGACAATCGTCGCAATAGAGCCTCGTGACACATGTTTCTACGATAAAACTCCAACCGCGTGACTCGCAATTGGGTGGTTCTAACCGTCGTAACCTGCTAAGATGAACTGTTGCAATTTGTCAATTTTCTTGTGGTGAGTAGGCCAACGTTCGACCAAACCTGAATAAATCTCTAGTGCAATCTCTCTAACCCTCATTCTCTTTAAATTCTGCTATTAATTTTTCTCTCTTTATTTCCGCTGCAATTTACTCTATCCTTAAGAAATTACTAGCACACAACTTAAAATGTAATTAAGAATATTTATAAAGTAATCGAAAAAAACTTCAAAAAAAGAAAAGAAACAAAGATCTTAACCTTTTAGAAAAAAATATCCAAATTTATAGATCAGAAGAGACTTGGAAGTAAAAATAATGGGAAACATATGTTGATTCTCCTAGAAAACGCCATTACTCCGTTATGGATATAGCATGTTCATTGAACAATAAAATGAGGTCTCGGTATAGGGGAGAAAGTTTCCAGTGCGAGGGAGAGAGAATTAACCTGCAAAATAAGTATTTCAATGCTCAAGATAGTGAAGGAACGCGAAGTAAAATAAAAGTGATAATGTATTTGAATACTTGAAATAAAATGTTTTTCACTTTATATAATGATAGCGACTAAAACCGTTAGTGCGAGGTGATATGTGTTGTGCGGGTAGTCATTGAATTTAATTGAACGGTAGTAGATTTGTCAGCATAATTGATCGATGTTAGATGAATAAAAGTTCACCTACTCTAAGTGTCTTACCTTTTAGTGGTGCTCTTAGATATTTCTTTTATTCTGAATGGTCTAGAACAAAGGTGTTTATAATTGTTGCAATTTTACTTTAGAGGCGGTTTTGATCGTCAGTACTATAATTATACGATGGTTAAAATGATAGCGAACATCAATTTTCTTTTCTTGAATTACATATAAGACTTAGATATACATTTATGATTAGACTTCTCTTAGAGACGGTATCTATATTCAAATTAAATAGAATAACAATAATAATAGAATATTTAATATGTAGAAGGGTGGGATGGACAAATTTTAAACACTGATCCATGTCTTTTTTATGCAAATGGGTTGGATCAGGTTGATTCGATTACTTAATTTGAATAATATAGAGTTACTTCGGTCGGATTCTGACGCTTATTTTGCACCCAACGAAAATTGAAATCGACCGAACCTAATTAATATATATACTATTTATTTTTATTACTATATGACTCATTATAAAAATGAGATTTATAATATTGCAGGATATTATCATTTTTATAATTTAATGATGACATTGTGTCCTCCCAAAAATACCAATCATATACTATAAAATTTTGAATACTATTTAACTTATAGTTTTAAATATGATAATGATCAAAATTAGTGTCAAATAATATTAAAAATAATATTTAGCCTATGGTTTAAACTACAATTGTTCTATTCTAAAAATTTGGTATTTTTTTATAATAAATTTAAAAAATAGTCATTTTTATAAAAAAAATTTAATAAATATTGAATCGATTTGATTTTCTGTCAAATCAATTTTATCGACAAAAATTAAAATTTTATCAATCCAAATTAGATCTAAAACTCACCGATTGTCCATCTTTTAGGTGATATAGATTTATCATTACAATCATACTCCTAAAGAAAGGCCTAGAAAAACAAGGTCAATAAAGTTACAACCACTTATTACAATTCCTGACACACATAAATAAAAGTAGATGATGCATACCTACTACCTACTACCTAATTAAGAGATCGATATTTCTTAATGTCTTCAAAAAATGCATCGAGATGTCGTTGAGAGGAACCACCGACGGCCACCGCATCCTCCGCCACCTTCTTCCACTTGATTGCATTTTTCTTCAACGTCTCTGCTTTTTCTCCCGTTGTTACTTCCAATAAGCACTTCTTCACCTCATCTCTCGTTACCAATATATCAGTCTTGCCAGCACCATTGCGACCCATTTTAACCCCTACCCCAAAAACATCAACCAAAAACTTGGCATTTGGAAGATGGTCCCCAAATGACGGAAACGCCAACACCGGAACACCTAAAGCGATTGCTTCCATTGTAGAATTCCAACCACAGTGTGTCATGTAACATGCTGTTGAAGGATGAGCAAGTACCTGTTCCTGTGGACTCCATTTCACCACTCTCCCTCTCCCACTCTCACTTGTTTCCTCCAAGAATCCATCAGGGAAAACATGGTTTTTTTTCGCCCACAAAAACGAAACTTTTGCCTCCAATAACGCATACGCAATTTCATTCACTTGTTCTTGAGAATGGTCCACCACAGTCCCAAAAGATATATAAACCACAGAACCTTTCGGCTTTGTGTTAATCCACTCTATAATACCAGAATCATAATCATTGCCGCTTTTGCCAAAATCACCGCGAACATTGCTTACTGCTTTAATGATTGGATTCCTAAACAAAGGACCAATGGATCTTACCGGAATTGACAGTTTCAAAAGATAATCAATGATATCAGATTCCAACTCTTCACATGTATCCACCAATACGCAAAACACCTTAGACATGTCCTTCATCTGTTCTATGGTGAGTTCCCCTAGAATTGGATATGGATTAAGAGGATGTATAAAATCCGGGACTTCATCGTATTTAAGAACTACAAAAGGCAATTCAACATCTATATAAGGCTCTGAAATCGAAGGGAAAGGTACAAGATTATGGACATAGTTATAGTAAGCTGCGAAAACAGCACTTGAATGAATCCATGATAAAGCACAAGGAATATCATGTTGAGCAGCAACATCAGAAACCCATGCGAAAAAAGGGTTGTTTATAATGCAAGATATTGGTCTGTTTGAATCAGCGTGATTCTTGATCATCTCAGAAATGAAGTTTCTCCCGGCGAGCTCAACTCGTGCATGGTAGCCCAAGTCTGGTCTAGTGCCATCACCGTCGTCAAAGAAGTCGAAAGTGAGAGAGCCGTCGCCAATCGGAATAGCTAATTTGTCGGTGATATTGTTAGCGGTTCGCATGGTTTTGCCAGCTTTTTCTGATGTTGTGAAAATCACAGAGGCACCTTTTGCGGCAAGACATTTTCCTAGTCGGAGAAGAGGAGTTATGTGTCCTTGTGCTGGATAAGAGACGAGAAGAATATGTATTGGAACTTCTGATGTCATTTTTTTTTTATCTTGTGTGTTTTGCTTCTTAACAAGAAGAGATATATAGCATTTTTGGAGTTAACTTTTTTTTTTTTAATTTTAAATTTAAATAATTTTGATATATTATTAATATTTTATTTTATTTAAATCTTTATATTCAGCTTGTAATGGATTAACTCAAAAGGATTAGTTTCATCGTTCATGAACGGAATTCTGATTAAAATCAGAACAAAATTATATATAGTCTGATGTAATACAAAGATTATTAGTATTTAATAAGATTTAAATTTAAGATTTTAAGAGGAAGTCAACATTCAATAATTTAAATTATAAAATCAATTTTTATTATAAATTGAAATGGCAAATCCGATTCACTAAATATATAGCCGGTTTGTTTTGCCTATTTTTCTAATAATTTTTATAATATAATATAATTTTATCAAAAAATTTTTTTATAAAAATTTAGTTTAAATAGTTATTTTTAAAATGTGATTTTAAATATATTAATATTTTATCAAAAAAAATTTGGATATCAAAATTTCAAAAAGTCATTTAATTTTAAAGTTATTTTAAATAATTTTTTATAAAAATTATTTTTGAGATACAATTTTTTTTTAAAATTATAATTTATATTTATATTGTATAAGGTCAAAATTAATTTATATTTATATTGTATAATGTCAAAATTAATATTGCAATTTAAAAAAATTTAATATAGAAAAATTTATAATATTTTTAAAAATAATTTTATAAAATGTATTTTTAAAAGTACAAAAAAAAAGTTTTTTTTCTTTAAAACTAAAACAAACCGTCCATATTCTTTTGCCGATAATTTTTACACATCCAAATTTTTATTACCATGTCTTCTTAAAAATTTAACAATCGACTTCTCTGATAATATATTTCATTGTGGATTATTTTTATAGACATATGTGTATCTTGAATTTTTTATTTAAAATTTCAGATTTCTTACGATGCCGTTTAGAGATGGAAATTGTATATGTATCCCATATATATCCATACAAAATATTCACAATGACTAAATTAAAGTCTGTAAAATAAATATCAACACGAACATCAATAATTATTTATTAAAATAGCTGGGTAAGGGGTTGAAATGGATACCATAATATTCACAACATTTAATACTTCAACAAAATGTACGTTTATTTTTTAAAAATATATATTATAATTAAATGGAATATATTATTGCAGGTAGGGCTGGCAATGAACCAAACCAACTCGAAGATAGTTCGGAATTCGACTCGACAATTAAATCGTTGAACTAGGTTCATGAACCAAATGAGTTGAGTATGAGCGAAAAATTAAGTTCGTTAACTAAATGAGCTGAACTTGAACTATACATAGTTCGACTCGTTAGGTTCATGAGTCAACTCGATTACATATGAAAAGAATTATACTGTCTTTAAGATTAGGTTTAAATATTTACTTCAAATCTTAGACAAATTTAATCTTCAATTTAGTAGTTTTTGAATTAGACTCTCAAATGTATCTCTTGAAAGTTGTGTAGGTTTTGAATTAGTAGATTTCAAAGATAAAGTTAAATTTCAATATGATAACTTTTATTTTATTTTAATATTTTATTTAAAATATATATATATATATTTATTTAAAATGTCAAATATACTAAAAAAAAAAAAAAAATATATATATATATATATATATATATATATATATATATATATATATATATATATATATATATATATATATATATATATATATATATATATATATATATATATATATATATATATATATATATATATATATATATATATATATATATATATATATATATATTTAAAAAAATAGTTTTTAAGTTCGTGAACCATGCGAGCTGAACCTAATGAGATGAACCTAACGAGTCGAACCGAACTGTTCGTGAACTTATAACGAGTCGAGTTTGAGCTTAAAAAAAAGTTCGTGTCAAACTCGAACTCGAACTCGAATTCGAACAATTCTTAACGAGTCGAGCCGAGCTGAGGTGAGTTCGACTCGACTCGACTCATTTCCAGCCTAATTGCAGGCATCGTAAATAAAACTAATCATATTATCAATGTGGTCCTAGGCTTATTTTTGTGGACTCCATTTTACCACATTTCCTCTTCCACTTTATTTGTCATTCGAGAACCGATCTGGTAGAATATGTGGTATTGAGTTGGTGTTGGGAGAAGCATTAATGAATGCCCTTGACTTTATTGCAATACTGACAAATGAAATTAATCATATTGGTAGTTTTAAAAAAAAGATTAATAGGAGTACTATGAGCTTTCTTTCTATTTTTAGTTTAGGGTACTACATGTTAGGATAGAGTTAAATGTAGAATTGTTTTTTTTTAAATTGTGCATTGTTTTAATGAGATGTTGATAATTAAATTTTCAATTTAATTATTTTTATTTTAAATTTGTGTGATTAGAAATTAATAGATGTCCTTGTTTATTTATTCTACAATTAATGAAAAGACCCGAGAAATTAATAGATGTCCTTGTTTATTTATTCTACAACTAATAAAAAATTCGTGCGTAATTTTTAAGAAAAAAGATATACTATTCTATTTTTATGTTTTAGAGCAAAAAGTAAGTGCAATTTAATAGATTAGTGTGTTCGCACGGATCGCACAATATTATATAATTTAAAAAAAAATTAATTTAATAGAAATAAAATATTTTATTTAAATAAAATATATAATTATTTAATGAGTGAATTTATTTAAATTATAACTAATTTATATAATTGTAGTGAAATATTTGATAAAAAATTATAATAAAATGAATTTAGATACAATTATAAATTTAAAATAATTTATTTAGTTATAAAATAAATTATGAACAATTATCAAATAAACTCAATTGTATTAACAAAAATTATAATAAAAAAAACTGATAGGTACATAATAATTTACTTTATTTTAATCAAATTATGATAATGTTATTAATAATTAATATATTTTTTTATAATTTATATATTTTAATGAAAAGACCCGAGAAATTAATAGATGTCCTTGTTTATTTATTCTACAACTAATAAAAAAATCGGTAATTTTTAAGAAAAAAGATATACTATTCTATTTTTATGGTTCAGAGCAAGTGCAATTTAATAGATTAGTGTATTCGCACGGATTGCACAATATTATATAATTTGAAAAAAAAATTAATTTAATAGAAATAAAATATATAATTATTTAATGAGTGAATTTATTTAAATTATAACTAATTTATATAATTGTAGTGAAATATTTGATAAAAAATTATAATAAAATGAATTTAGATACAATTATAAATTTAAAATAATTTATTTAGTTATAAAATAAATTATGAACAATTATCAAATAAACTCAATTGTATTAACAAAAATTATAATAAAAAAAACTGATAGGTACATAATAATTTACTTTATTTTAATCAAATTTTAATGATAATGTTATTAATAATTAATATATTTTTTTATATGATAAATAAATGTACAAAAATTTTTGATTTTAAATATCCTTAAATTAAATAATAAGAAATAATAGTTATAAATATTTATTTTAATATTGATTGTTTTTTACTCACAATATTGATATTAATAATGTAATATTATTATTGTTACATTTTAAACTCACAATATCAATATTACTAATATAACATTCGCTCGGGTCATACAATATTATATAATTTGGATTGAAAAATATCTTATTTAATTGAAATAAGATATTTTATTGGATAAGTAAAATATATACTTATTAAATGAGTAAAATTTATTTAAATTATAACAAATTTATATAATTATGATGGAATATTTAATAAGAAATTTATAATAAAATATATTTAGATATGATTATAAATTTAAAATATTTATTTAATTATAAAATGATTTATGACTAATTATTAAATAAAATCAATGTATTAAATAACTATAGGCTCGTGAGATGTAGAAAAAAATAGACATTGTGTTTATAGTGACCGTAAGATAGAATATTTTTATTATTCTAAATTTTAATATTAATATATAATACTCAAATTTTTTTATTAAATATTTTATTATCATATTTATGTACTAATTTCCTGTTCTTATTATCCATTAATCATGGGTTTACAAACAGAACAATGTTAAAAATATCCGTATAAAAAAATGATAGGTACATAAAAATTTACTTTATTTTAATCAATTTTTAATGGTAGCGTAAATAGTAGTTAATATATTTTTTTTATATGATAAAAAAATATGCAGAATTTTTTAATTTTAAATATTTTTAAATTAAATGATAAGATATAATAATTATAAATATTTATTATTAACATTGATTATTTTTTACACACAATATTGAAATTAATAATGTAACATTATTATTGTAACATTTTTAACTCACAATATCAATATCAATATTAATAGCATAGCGTTCGGACGGGATACACAATATTATATAGTTTGAACAAAAAATATCTAATTTAACAGAAATAAGATATTTTATTGGATAAATAAAATATATAATTATTAAAGAGTGAATTTACTTAAATTATAATTAATTTATATAATTGTAATGGGATATTTGATTTAAAAAATTATAATAAAATAAATTTAGATACAATTATAAATTTGAAATAATTTATTGAGTTATAAAATGAATAATAAACAATTATCAAATAAACTCAATTGTATTAAATAATCATATAGATCTGTAAAATGCAAAAAGAATAAGTATTGTATTGATAGTGACCCTGTGAGATAAAAAAAATTATTATTCTAAATTTTGATATTAATATATAATACTCAAATTTAAAATTATGATTGTCTTCTAAATATTAATTTAATCTACCCATACGTTCGCAAGGGTCGAGCAAAGTCAACCAAATATGAAATAAATATAAAATAAAAGTTATATAATTGTGTTTAAGAAAATGTATTTTATAAAAAATATTTAAAGTGATGGATAAATGATATACAAATTAAGTAATCTTGGCCCTTCAAAATGTATATTTTAGTAGAAAAAAATAAATGAAATAATTAAATAG